ACCGTTTAGAATTAATATTCATGCATTTATGTCAAAGGTCAAGGTCACATTTGAGGTCATTTGGAAATCTTGTATACATTTGCTAGTAAAGATTGTAGACATTAGTGGAGTGCAGTTCCACCATTTTACACAGACCTGTAGAATTCCTGGTTTGGCACAGGCTTTGAGAAGGTTGAAGTCATCAGAGAAACATTTTGGTAACAGTTTTAGAAATCATCTTTTGACCAACAGTATTTGCTTTAGATAAGCACCCTGGGCTCTAAGAAACTTGACAAAAGCGGTTGCACATTACAACCGTGCACAATCAGTTGTTGGGGTAGCCTAATACTTAAAGCATTTGCTCATCATGCCGATGGCCTGGGTTCGATTCCCCACAGTGGTACAATGTGTGAAGCCCATTTCTGGTGTCCCCTGCTGTGATATTGCTGGAATATTGCTAAAAGTGGCGTAAAACTATACCAATGCTGTAAGATATCCATGTTTGCAAACCTGGGAATAAGACTTGTTACTACATGAATTTATGGTTGCTGTTTTCGAATGAAGGGGGGCCGTGGGGTTCGCTTGTCACTCCGAAGACCCAGGTTCGATTCCCCACATAGGTACAATGTGTGAAGCTAATTTCTGGGGTCCCCGCCATGATATTGCTGGAATATTGCTAAAACCATACTCACTCACTCACTCACTCACTCACTCACTCACTCACTCACTCACTCACTCACTCACTCACTCACTCACTCACTCACTCACTCACTCACTCACTCACTCACTCACTCACTCACTCACTCACTCACTCACTCACTCACTCACTCACTCACTCACTCAAAAAAGGGTTTTATCATTATTTGTAAAAGATCATGGTCCGACATGCATGCATACCCAACCAGGGTTTATCTTCCTTCTGTGTGTGAATTGTTTCTGATTCAGTGACATTTATGAATTATTTCTTTATTCTTTATCATTATGTAGAGTTTTATATAGACCTTTGTGAAATTAGCTTGTAGTGACCTTTCAATATTATTCCCAGGAAGGTGTGTCTAAGTCCTGGCACTCTGGCACTCTGGTAGGTATGTCAGGTAGGTAGGTAGGTATATTACCGTAGTTAAGCCGATCTCATAGATCTCCAGTAGATCGTGGGTAAATGTGTTTACAGCTGATTGCTAATTCCGGCTTTGTATACGAGATAAATACACACAGTAATCTTAATCCCTGCATATAATACAATGCCTAGCAAAACAAATTAGAACTGAAAGGATAAATAATCTTGACTACTGATTTTTAATTGCAAATTTGACATCTTCAATGACGAAGTCAAATTCTCTTGTTCATTCACGTGAAGCAATACATAGTTGTTTTCTTACCACCAGAAAAAAAGTTTGACGAAAGTGTAACCTGTAGATAAGCTAACCCTCTTCTACAGATTGCTCTTTTTGTGATACACAATGCCATTTAGAAAGTGGTCAAATGTAACATATGTTATATTTGGGATTACACTTTCTTAGTAAAGTACAAATTCTAGGACTTTTGTTGGGTTGAGTCCCATGCTGAATTCGAACCCACACCCTCATGGGTGTGTAAGTCACAATGGCTGAGCGGGTTAGGTGGCTGAATTTGCATTCTGGCGATTAGGTGCCAAAATCAGACGCCTAACCCGCTCAGCTGCCGCGCTTCCATGTTACTACCTGACTCTGAGGGTGTGGCTTCGAATCCCAGAGGGGACTCAAACCAACAAAAGTACTAGAATCTGTACTTTACTAAGAAAGTGTACCCCTTAATATAACATATGTTGCTCTTCTTTGGTCCTCAAAATTTGCCTCATCTACGGTCATATTCAGTAGGTTGGTAAGTAGGTATGCATCCTTAAAAGACTTTCCTAATCAGTCTGTATACGAGTTGTAATCATTTTAAATTGTATTCTCTAGTATTTAGGAGTTCAGTTCCATAGAATTTCTTTGAAAAGCGGTCTTGTAGCCATTCCTTGTTTGGAACATGATTGACCCAGTTGTCTACAATGCCATTCTTTTCAGTACAAAATGTCATCCCTTTGTAGAGCTAGAAACCTTTGATCATTTACCCTGATTAAATTTCTAGCTTTGTCAGCACCTTTCCTGTCCTTATGGCAAATATAAGTTCACGTTACAAAACGTCACATCACCATGGCAACATGAGTATGTTGTGGTAAATCTGAATACATTGCCATCAGATTGTCATACCACAGTCATCAGAATGAATCATTATCATCCAAATGAATAGATTGTGTAAAAGAAATGTCTATGGACAGTGAGTAAGTGAGTATGGTTTTATATCGCTTTCAGCAATATTCCAGCAATATCACGACAGGGGACACCACAATTGGCTTCACACATTGTACTCTAAGGAGAGGGTTAGTTTGTTTTAGTAGTCGCTGCGATGAAATATTTATGCTTTCTAACCTCTCAAACACGACAAGCCAGCTTTCATGAAGCGAATGCAGAAATCTCACCACTCTGGGAAATTCCCACTGCTAATTATACCACAGTGTAAAGTACCAGATATTGACTGCGGTGCTTGGCGCTTGACTTACATGACTATATTACAGCTGTATTCTAGTAGACCAGCATCACAATGCGTCATGGTGAGAGATCATCTCTGTCTTGTGTTGGGGACTGAAAATAGCACACATGAGCAAGTGTCGCATGATCATGGCAGTAGAGACCGCCAGTTTTTGGAGGTAATCGATCATGAAGGAAATAATTCACCACACTTAACGAATCCTGTCCAAAACAGCAAATTGATTTTTTTCCTCTGGTGGGCAGTGTGGGTGTATGGGATGAAGCGTGTTTGGATGTTAGTAATACTGGATAGAAACAAATAAAGTCCGTCAGTCAGGCTTGCTGGGTTTGTGGACAAGTAAATGCTGATGTGTTATGGCTGTGATAATTTGTAGAACGGCTCGTGGATAGTGGAACATATTAGAGTGGATGTGTTCTTGTCTTGCGTAATGGAGTCTGAAACAAGAGTTCTTTCATCATCTCGTGTCTGGGAATGACCGGTAAACTGTAATCTGATTGTGTTTGGGCTTATGTGGAAGTGTGCCGCAGAGTTTTGAGTTTAATAATCGAGATTTCTGCGTGAAAGGAGAACAATTGAAGACATGGATGCTGGAAGGGATTTTCACATTTTTAAATGCTTGTGCAGAATGTGCTACCCAGGGCTCCAGCGATGCAGATATGAATTTTTGGTGTAAGAAGTTAAATTTTTTTATGTTTATTATTAATGCTCTATATATTCTTTAGTTGGTTCTGGATAATTACAGGTCCCAAGTAGTCAAAGAAATATCATGAAAGAGGATTGGTTGTTCAAGCTGTGTATCATATGTTGTGAGGTGAGGTGAGGTGAATTTTGATTTAACGTCGTGCTTGAGAATATTTCGCTCATATGACGACGTACATGGGTGTGTGTGTGTATGTGCGGCTGCTTGTACTAGCCCAGACTTAAGCTGGTTTTATAGTGCTAGCCCACTGAGATACCATGCCTCAGTGAAGCATGGATACCCCACTCAGACACATTATACTGACTCCGAGCCAACCAGTTCTTGTTGTACCCATTAATGCCGAGCGCCAGGCAGGGACCAACAAGTACCATATTTTAACGTCTTTTGGTATGACGCGGTCGGGGATCGAACCCGCGACCTTCCGCTCTCTGGGCGGACGCTCTAACCACTACACTACGGAGGCGGTCTCATATGTTGTGGATGGTTGTACATTGTTTTAGTCACATGTGAAGATCTAGGTTAGAATTGATCTTCAGCAACCCATGTTTGTTGTAAGAGGTGACTAACTTGATCGGGTGGTCAGACTCACAGCCTTGTTGACACATGTCATCGGTTCCACATTACATGGATGGATGCTCATGACATCAATCACTAGATCGTCTGGTTCACACTCGATTATTGACGGATTGCTGTCATATAGCTGGAAAATTGCAGAATGCAGCATTACACAAACAAAAACATTTTCACTGGTTTGTGGAGTCAAAATTATATTATTAACAGGATTGATAAAGCTAGTATATTGCTGACTCCTACTTCACAGGCCATTCACTCACTCACCCACTGTTCTGATTGCTTACAACAGTTAAGTACTCCACCCTTGAACTCGACAATGACCTATTCAGACTTGTCTTGTGTTTAACGTTAAACTTTTATGAGAAAGTCTGCAAACAGGTTCTTGGCTTCATAATGGAATATTAATGAAACCCATTGATCACCAAGTCCAAATACATTTGAAAGTGTGTCACATGCAAAAACTCCAGTTTAAAAGGGATGATTGAAATTTGTGTTTGTCATTAACATTGGAGTTTATATATGTTAGACATTAATGACCTATTAGTTCATTGATGAAGAAAGTATTTGAAAATGTTAATTTAAAAATGGTCTGGACAAATTTCTAACTCACATTTACCATGAAAAGAATTGTTCTGTGTTTCTGTTCCATACATATTCCATATTTGGTACATATTCCATATTTGGTATTTTGTAAAGATAAATGTTTAATAGAACAAAGGATACACTTTGTTAAATGTTCTTTTAAAAATAGCTATTTTATTTATAAATATATTCTGGTGCTTAATTCATTTCCCGGTGTATATATAGCAAAAATATTCATTCATAGCTAGTTCAAACATTGTGTGAAATTCAGCATTGGTTTTCTTCAAGCATATTTAACCTGTGATGACATTTAAGACAATGTCAGATAGATGTTTGCTGTGGAAGCAATGATTATGGAAAGGTCATCAGATGTGTGGTGTGGAAACAGGGACCAATAGGGCCATTAGGAGTTTATTCACATCAGCAAGCATGGTAAATGAAAAGAATAGATTGGTAATATATGATTTGATGTTGAATGGGAACAGGAGATTTATGAAACGTATTTAATTGATTATTTTGAAAGTTTCTTGCCTGAAAAGAATATTTTTTTAAAAATATTTGTTCTAAAATAAATAATGTTCTTTTTTGTTTGCAGAAACTACCACAGGGCTTCCATAAGCTGATGCTTAGATACAGAACAGTATGAATAAATGGATACCGTTTTTGAATGTTGAAAGGAAAGTACGGATTTAGACACCATGATGGCTGACGATCACCACCATCAGTTCAGGCACAGTGATACTGCGTCAGAAACGGTAAAGTTGGAACATTTGTGTTTTATTAATCTTGAAATTATGATGGATGTGAGAAGGGTTCACAAAGATGATAGGGAGAGGGAGGGGCTTTAACAGTAAATGTCATTGTGGAGTGGAACCCGGTACCTTACCAGAGATGTTATCCTCATTGATGAAATGATGGCCTTTGTAGATATGTAAATGGCATTAAGTGTTCCATCCAGAAAGAGGGAATTGTTTCTGGCTGGACAAACATGCTCAGAACTAACAGGCTGTTGACTTCCCACCAGGTGCACGAGTAATAGGGTGTTACTGGACAAACATTTATAACGTGTTGTATTTGGGATTACTTTCCTATTAATGTACAAATTAGGCAATTAGGTACCTGACTCTGAGGGTGTGGGTTCGAATCCCAGAGGGGACTCAGCCCAACAAAAGTACAAGAATCTGTGCTTAACTAGGAAAGTGCAATCCCAAATATAACATATGTTACATTTGACCACTCTCTAAATGGCATTGTGTAATCATGGACAAACATTGCAGGAAAGTACATGGTTGCAGGTGACAGATTGTACATAATACCAATAGTGAAGATTTTATTATTTCCATCTGAAACTTACCTTTTATGTTCATTCTTAAGAAACTGAAATCAACTGCTATGAATGTTGTCAGTTTCAAAGTGCCAGCTTGGATTGCTGACATCAGAACATCACCTAATGCATCTTCTGATACAGGGTTTGTCCTAGACTAACAACTAGTCTCTGAAATGAACATATTTTACAAAACAAAAAAACAGTTCATAATGAAAAAAATAAAATATACTGAAAAGGAGCCCTGAGACTTTCTTCATTTTCAGAAACTGAAACTGTGGAAATCTAGACTTGCCACATAATCTAGACGTGCAGATTTCTTTGATATGTTTCAGGGTCTGTGCGACAGACTAGGTTTGTCCCAGACCCTAGGAAATGAATCAAATAGTGAGTGACTGTGAGTTGAGTTTTACGTATAAGCATCGATCTGCGCAATTGGGAACCGATGACCACCCGATCCCGTTAGTCACCTCCTACGACAAGCATGGATTACTGAATTCCATTATTCTAACCTGGACCTTCACGGGTAATGAATTAAATAGGAGTCCTAATCAAGTCTAGAAAAGTTAGAAATTAAAGATTTTTGCAGGTAAATCTATACTTTTTATATTTTTCGGAGACTTGAATGTCTGTTTTAGATCATTTCCACACAGAGTGGTATAGGAGAAAAAGATCTTATTTTAATGAGCTTGTTAAAAATGTTGTCCTGTTTAATTAAATGTCTGGAAACATTCCACCCGGTTGAGCACAGCACCACTCACATTTGTGGACACATGGAAGCGTTACCGGGTGTTGGTGAACCCATTAGCAAAGCTGTATATTATCAGGAGTCTGTCAGAACTCTCACATCGAGGAGGGAATTTTGTAAAAACTTCTCCTGAGCCTTGGAGCTTTTGGGATTTGTAATGCCTTTACAGAAGCTATTAGAAAAGTGTCTTAAGTGTTGTTAAGTTAAATTCGAGCAGTATCTCCAGAATGCTTTGAAGGCTGCCAATTGAGCCCCTTTACTTTGATCTATACAGACATGTGGTGAGATAGGAGTGGTCTCCCCTTGACTGTAGTGCGTACAAGAAGATTTTTTCGTTGTCATTAATAATTTCTGTTTACTAAGTTCCTTAACATCATAGACTCTCACTTAGTATCTGCCATGAAAATATATAGCGATTTTTATTTTTTTAGGTTGCATTGTACAATGAGAAACACCCAGCAGAATCTCTGTATTGTTGAAGATTTTGATACTGAAGAAATTTAGACTTGCCAAAGAATTGTAGAATTGTGTGGGAAATTATTAATTTTTTGTTGAGGGTCTGTTTGAGTGACCATGAGGGTGGGTAGATTTCATTTGTATAGGGGTAGGCTGGGATTTTATAGGGGAACAATATCCCTGATATCCAACAAACAGTATATTTACTGAACACCAACAAATGACTATTCACTTTCAACTGTTAGAGAGGCATTCTAGAAGTTACAGGGGGCAGTGGGGTAGCCTAGTGGTTAAAGCGTTGGCTCGTCACGCCGAAGACCCGGGTTCGAATCCCCACATGGGCACAATGTGTGAAGCCCATTTCTGGTGTCCCCCGCCGTGATGTTGCTGGAATATTGCTAAAAGCGGCGAAAAACCAAACTCAGTCAGTCAGTCAGTCTAGAAGTTACAAGTAATAGGAATGACAAGTCTTTAGGGATGATCAATTTCTTTATATTATGATAGCGACGTTTCGGTAGAGATATGTGTAGCCCATTTCTGGTGTCCCCTGCCGTGATATTGCTGGAATATTGCTAAAAGCGGCGTAAAACCATACTCACTCACTCACTTGGTATAGATACTTATACCGTTTTCAGGCATGAGGAATGGTATAAATGGTATAAGTATTTATACCGAAACGTTGTACAATAAAGAAGTTGATCATCCATAAACACTTGTCACTCCTATTCATTTTCACTTCAAACACATGCAATTGACATTTGGGTATTGTCCTCAAAACAATTCATTCGTAAATGAAACTGTTCGTTTATGAAATCTTTTTATCCCCAAAAGAAATCACTTGGATGTTCCCTTTGCTCAATTGAACAACTACAACTTTATGATAATGTGAATTAATTTTGAAGTAAACCTGTGGCATTTATTTTACTGACAAACAATGTTTAATGATTGTGATTGGAGTTAATCATTTATGAATGGAAAACATTTTGAAGTTAAATAAATTAAATAACTCTGATGTTTTGACATTTGCACTTCATCACAACAGCTGTAAGATATACATGTTTGCAAACCCGGGAATAAGACTTGTTACTACATGAATTATGGTTGCTGTTTTCGAATGAAGGGGGGTGGTGGGGTTCGCTTGTCACACCGAAGACCCAGGTTCGATTCCCAACATGGGTACAATGTGTGAAGCCCATTTCTGGGGTCCCCCACCGTGATATTGCTGGAATATTGCTAAAACCATACTCACTCACTCACTCACTCACTCACTCACTCACTCACTCACTCACGTCTATGTAGAATATACAACAATTGCAGTCTGGCTTAAATTGCTCTTTTGGACAGCATATAAGTAAAAAACACCTTTGATAGGTCATTTACAAAAATATAATTGTTTGTTTACATAACTTACACATAATGATTAGTTTCATTTCGTGATTTTGAAATTGACAGATTGACAGGATTGTTTACCATTAATCATGAAATACTAGACAAGTATGACTTAAAGCTTATAAGTATGCCACAACAGAAAGCTAATCAATCAACGTCAAACGGTGACACACATTTCAAGGACTATCTGAAAGACAATAACCTTGATACAATGAAAGAATATACTGGATTGCACATTTTCATTCACTATTTAAACTTTGTCTGTAGAATAGACTTTGAAATGAGTATTAGGGGACAACACAGGCTGAATCACCTTCACCTGCAATCGACACCTGCAAATGCCACTCATACTGTGAAATCAACATGATGCCACTGAGGATGTGAAACTTACCAGAGGGGGCTAATATTAGCAACAGCAGCTTGGAGGGGGTGGGGTGCAATATGCGAGCCTAAATACCTGTCTGAGGGCTGGATTCCTGACAGCCTGTCCCAGACATGGAATCGGTAAGTGTTTGGTTGGGTGCCTGTCTTGATCGTTATTGATTAATTCAGTCTTCAATTATGGTTACAGGGACAGTGATTAGTTAGTGAACTGCTATGGAGTACAGGCATAGACAACAGGCTGGATGTTGGCCTCAAAATAGGATGAATATTGCTAACATATGACAGGGGTTCCAGCGAATATCATGTCGGTCGTTTCTAACTCAGTGTTTTGGAGGCTGTCCTGGAAGGCTGATGCTGTGTTCTTGTGTCTTGTAAAAACTTTTGTCGACACCTCAGTGCATGTTCGAAAGTGAAATCAAATTTAAGATAAAATTGCTGGTTCTTCCTTTGCATGAATATTTTTTCGTGTGTTGTTCAATGTTTGATGATTATGTTTTGATACCGTGATCCTCTTTTCCCTGGACAGTTGTTCTTCACCAATGCAGGTGTTAAAATAGTCTGTCTCACAGTCCCTGAAAAAACGTACTTTCCCTTCCACCCAGTCCTTTCTGTGGCTGTGGGGTAGCCTAATGGTTAAAGCGTTGGCTCGTCACGCTGAAGTCATGGGTTCGATTCCCCACATGAATACAATGTGTGAAGCCCATTTCTGGTGTCCCCCACAGTGATATTGCTGAAATATTGCTAAAAGCGACATAAAACCATAAATACTCACTTCTGACAGCAATGTGAAAGCTGTTTATGAAGCAAGTCTAGATTTTCCTCAGGTTCTGAATTTCCCATTTCACTGAGTCTCTGTTTCAGTTTAAATGGATTTTTTTCTTTCTGACAATATTTAACATTTTCAAGGACTAAGCTAAGTCTAGTTATATAACTCACCAATTTTGAGACTATTTATGAAAGCCCCATTTACTTTATCAGACAGGAAATAATTTGTACATTGAAAAAGGAAGCTTGATGAAACTGCTTTCCGCCATGCGGATATCTATAAATCAGTCCAGATTAATTATTTTATTCTTTGGGAGTGTAGGACAAATTGTCCTCTGTTCCTCATAAGACTAGACGGAAGTCACGATCGGAAAGCTATTTGCGACTTCACATCGGATGGGGCTGATCATAGCGATGTTATCTTGCTGATCTGATCCATCCTTGATTATTCAGATACTGATGTGAGGCGTAGTTCCATATTGCTGACAAGGACGTTAAGTAATATTCACTCACATTTAATGTACAAAAACGTCAAAATGTGTATTTGGTCGTTTTCTAGACAGATGAATTATTTTGATATTTGCAATTCTATATATAACCTTCCTCCATCTTAAAGCCGATGCCTGCAGTTAGTTGTATATGGATTTATGATCAAATAGTAGACTTTGCAGGGGGTTTCTTTTTCCTGA